GCTGGTTGGTCTCAGACTCCTGACTTTGTGATACGCCTGCCTTGGCCTCCCAAAGTGTTGGGATTACAGGTGTGATCCACCGTGCCCAGCCTTTTTTGTTTGTTTGTTTATTTGAGACAAAGTCTTGCTCTGTTGCCCAGGCTGGAGTTCTATGGCGCGATCTTGGATCACTGCAACCTCTGCCTCCTGGGTTCAAGCGATTCTCCTGCTGCAGCCTCCTGAGTAGCTGGGATTACAGGTGTACGCCACTATGTCCAGCTAATTTTTCTATTATTCATAGAAACGGGGTTTTCCCATGTTGGTCAGGCTGGTCTCGAACTCCTGACCTCAAGTGATTCGCCTGCGTCAGCCTCCCAAAGTGCTGGGATTACAGGCATGAGTCACTGGGCCCACCAAGGAAATAACTTTAAAAAATAGTAAACCAGGCCGGGTGCGGTGGCTCAAGCCTGTAATCCCAGCACTTTGGGAGGCCGAGACGGGCGGATCATGAGGTCAGGAGATCAAGACCATCCTGACCAACGTGGAGAAACCCCGTCTCTATTAAAAAATACAAAATTAGCCGGATATGGTGGCACATGCCTGTAATCCCAGCTACTCGGGAGGATGAGGCAAGAGAATCGCTTGAACTCGGCGGGGAGGTGGAGGTTACAGTGAGCCGAGACTGTGCCATTGCACTCCAGCCTGGGCCACAGATTGAGACTCCATCTCAAAAAACAAACAAAAAATAAAATATTTGGGAAAAATATTAATATAATCAAAAAATGTAAAATGTATACATTGAAAACTACAAAACATCACTAAAAGAAATTAAAGAAAACCTAAATAAATGGAAAGACATTCTGTGTTCATGGGTAGGAAGACTTAAATTGTTAAAATGGCAATACTCTCTAATTTAATCTATATATTTTGCATAATCCCTGTTAAAATTCCAGCTGTCTTTTTGCAGATATCGACAAAGTCTTCCTGAAATTCTTAAAGAAATTCAAGGGATTCAAAATGGCCAAAACAATCTTGAAAAAGAAGAAAGCTGGAGGCCCCACCCTATCTAATTTCAAAACTTACTACAAACATAAAGTAGTCAAGACAGTGTGGTATTGGTATTAGGATGGACTATACATCAATGGACTAGAATCGAGGGTCTAGAAACCAATGCTTGCATTAATGATCAGTTTAACAAAGGTGCCAGTTCAATGGGGTAAAGAATAGTGTTTTCAGACAAGATCAGGCTCATTCAGGGTGGTATGGCTATAGACAAGAATAGTCTTTTCAGCAAATGGTTCTGGGACAGCTGGATATTCACATACAGAAGAATGAATTTGAATCCCTCCATCACGCTGTATACAAAAAGTAACTCAAAATAGGGCCAGGCACGGTGGCTCATGCCTGTAATCCCAGCACTTTGGGAGGCTGAGGTGGGTGGATCACCTGTGGTCGGGAATTTGAGACCAGACTGACCAACATGGAGAAACCATCTCTACAAAAATACAAAACTAGCCTGCTGTGGTGGCTCATGCCTGTAATCCCAGCTACTCAGGAGGCTGAGGCAGGAGAATCGCTTGAACCCAGGAGGCAGAGGTTGCCGTGAGCTGAGATCGCGCCACTGCTCTCCAGCTTGGGTGACAGAACAAGACTCTGTCTCATAAACAAAAAACAAACAAACAACAACAAAAAAACCCCCACAAAATAGATTATAGACCTGAATGTGACAGCTAAAACTATAAAACTCTAGGTAAATCTTCATGATCTTGGGTTAGGAAATGGTTTCTTACATATGTACCAAAAGCATAGTGACAAAAGAAAAAATATGTAAATTGGACTTGATCAAAATTTAAAACTCTTGTGCTTCAAAGGACAATACCAATAAAGTAAAAAGAAAACCCACAGAATGGGGGAAAATATTTGCATGTCATATACTTGAAAAGGGCTTTGCATTCAGAATATATAGAGAACTCTTACAACTTAATAATGAAAAGACAAATAAAATGGTCAAAGGATTTGAATGAACATTTCTCCAAAGAAGTTATACAAACTGCAAAAGCACATGAAAAAAATGCTCAACATCATTATGATCAGGGAAATGAAAATAAATAAAAACTCCAGCAAGATACTATTTTACACAAAAGTGAGTGTTGGCAAGGATGTGGAGAAATTGTAAACCTTACATGTTACTGGTGGGAATTTAAAATGGTGCACTACTGTGGAAAACAACTTGGCAGTTCCTCGAAATGTTAAACATTAGCATTACCAAATGATCCAGCAATCCTACTTCTAGATGTGTAACCAAGAAGAAGGAAAACATAGGTTCATACAAAAACTTGCAGCAGCATTATTCATGATAGGCAAAAGGTAGAAACAAACCAAATATCCATCAATGACAAATAGGTAAAAAACATGTTACAGCCATACAATGGAATATTATTCGGCCATAAAAAGTAACAAATTGCTGATATATGCTACAATAGGGATAAAGTTTGAAAACATTGTAAGTGAAAGAAGTTACTCACAAAAGGTTGCATATTGTGTAATTTCATTTATATGAAATGTCCAGAATAGGCAAATCCATAGAGATAGAAAATAGATTGGTGGTTGTCTAGGTCTGGGATGTTGGCAGTGGGGTGGGAGGAGGGTTGCAGAGAGCAAGGGGGAGTAGCTTATGAGTGTAGAGTGTCTTTTTGAAATGATAAAAATGTTCTAGGTTATGGATGCACAACTCCATATATAGTAGGAACTATTGACTTGTACAATTTAAATTGGTGAATTGTATGGTATGGTGTGTAAATTATATCTCAGTAAAGCTTGTATGTGTGTACATATATAAAATATTGAATGGTGATAGGTACTATGGAGAACTATAAAGTAGGCAGGGAAAAAAAGAAGAGTTGGGGCTGAAGGTTGGAGTTTTAAATAAGGAAATCATATTTGGATTCACTGGGATTATGTGAACAAAGACTTTCTGGAGGAGGTGAGTGGGTCAGGTGGTTATTTAGGGAAAGAACTTTCTAGGCTGCCTGGGTTTGGACCTGGGCTCTGTCATTGTTTGAATGTATGACCTTGGAAAAGTTATTTAATGGTCCTGTGCCGCCATTACTTTATCTGTAAAATAATAATAAATAGTATCTATTTCAAAAGGTTATTGTGTGGATTAAATGAATTTAAAAAAGAAAGCATGTAGAACAGTACACTGGCACTATGTAAAATGCCTTATCATTATTTTCATCAGTTCCTACTGCAAGCTCACAGCCCTTGCATGCTAAGATGGAAGCACGACGGGAATGTTGGATGATACAAGGAGGCCAGGTGGGGCTGGTGCAGAAGAAGCAAGAGGGAGGATTGTAGGGCTTGTGGCTTTAGCTTTGTAAGATGGGAAATCAATGGAGGGTTTTGAGCAGAGAAAAGAGAAGATCTGATTCATGTTTTAGCACCAGCACTCTGGCTCTTGTCCAGCACACTGAAAGGGGACAAGGACACAATCAAGGAAACCAGTTCTAAGCGACTGTAGTAATGCATGTGAGAGACGATGGTGGTGGGAGAAGTGGCCAAATGGTTCCACTACGAAGACAGATACAACAGGCTGTATTTAAAGATACAATATTCATACACATGAAAGAGCTTGCAGTTTTGACCTGAGCAGTTGTCGGAATTAAGCTCCTACATATTGAGACGAAGGAAGTCTGGGAAGAATGAGAGGGAGCCCTTTTTAATTTTTTAATGGGGGTGGAGTGGGGTAGTGGGGCGACTGATGGGGGATCAAGATTTCAATTCTGGACATGACTAACTTGAAATGCCCATTACACATTCAAGTGGACCGGAAAGAGGATGGACGGATCATTGGTTCTTTGACCAACACGTATAAAAATCCCACTCTGTGCCAGGCTCTGTGTAGGCTCTGGAGATACATGTGAAAATACTAAACAACCTCCTTAAGAGCTCACTTTCCAATGGTAAGACCGGTTATGAGGAAGTTAGCAATCAAGCGAGGTCAGGTAGGTGAGGTCTTTAACTCTTCGGATGAGAGAAAATGTGCAATTGCTATTACTGATTTTAACATTCCGGGTATTGCAAGGACCAGCAGACGGGCCTAAGAGCTGCTACTCCTCCCAACCCGGGGCTGCCAGGTTATCTCCGCCTCAGTGCGGGCCACATTTCTAGCGCAGCAGAATGGCAGCATTGCGCACGCGCGGCCTGTGTCTGGAGTCCTAGGAGATGGACTCGGAAAGCCTCCGCGCAGGCGTAATTCAAGGGCCATGAGAGTCTGAGACTGGGCTTGGGGCGGGGCGAGCTCGGAATGCGGCTGCGCACTGGGCGCTCTCGCCCGGGAAGCCGCAGTCTCGAGGGCGCTAACGAGGTGCTTCGATAGTCTCTGGCCAGCCTTTCTGCGCACCCGGTGTCGTTGCGCTGTACCCCGGGCGGGGACGTCCGCCGGGCACGGGAGGGAGCCAAGATGCCGGTGAGGAGAGTCGCTTCGCCTCTGGGGTTTCTTCTCATCCTCGGGGCCTGGCCCGGGGGCGCGGCCGTTGCCATGGAGGCGCGGAGCAGGCTGGCTGCCTGGGTGGGGCGGGGCAGGCTCGGCCGTGCGGCGGAGGTGGTTGGAGAGCCTGGCTAGTCAGCCCCGGGGCCGCGGACGTCCGACCGGCCTCGAGAGGGGCCTGGGGCAGGCCCTGCTGCCCTCGTCGCTGCTGCGTCCCGTGGGGCCTGCGCCGCTTATCAAAGAGGCGCTGTGCTGGAGGTTGCTCTCTGGCTCGCAGCCCTGCCTGCTGAGCGGGGCGTCTGGGGGTGGCCACGGAGGGTCTCTTTGGATGCTCCACACCTCGTTAGGCCTTTGCGCCTCGGAGCAAGCTCAGGGAGGCAGCGGAGCGAAGGCTGCCTGCCCCTATTCCGAGCCCCAGACTCCGACTCTCCTAGCCTGGAGCTGTCATTTCTCTTGTGGCGCTTTAGCTTATGATGCAGAATGAAACCTGTAGGTGTCTTTGTGTGTGTGGCGGTGTTATGTTTATCTTCCAGGATTTCACAGATTGTTATCGTGAACTTAATAATGGGGCCTTGTAAGACCCCTTGTTAGGGGTCATGGAGGAAAATTGAGCCATGGCCGCTTATTTAGTGGTTGTGAAGCCTGGCATAATTATTTAATCTGTCTGGGTCCTTAGTGCCCAAGTAAACTTTACCTCATGGGGTTGTTATCCGCGTGAAATAATGCACAGGAGACTAGAAGGACAGTGCTTGACATTTAAGATTAAACGCTCTATATTTGTACCTGTTCACTGCTTTCAAGTTTTTAATTCAATAAATATTGGGCGCCAACCACGTGCTAGGCCTTGAAGATACAACATTGAGCAAAACCAGTCAGGTTCTTGAACCTGGAAAGAGAGAGGCTTGCCTTCTTGGGCAGAGGTGAAAATCATACGTATTTGCAGAAATAAGACACAAAACCTTAATGAATGAAGTGGGTGGGTGTCCTACAATAGAGAGAAGTAGATTCTGGTGAATTGGAAAGTATTGCCATGTAAGATTGATGGTCTGCAGATGATAACAGGTCATTTTTTTTTTCCTCCCAAGAAGAGACTTTAGAAATCATTTTTGTGAAATTTCTTAATTTTAGCAACTAATTCAGAAGCTCCTTAAATACTGTGAACCAAACAAAAGAAATTTGTGGGCTGAATTCAGCCTCTTGACTACCTGTTTGCAACCTCCAGTGTAGACAGAAAGACGTTAATCAAATAAGGAACAAGCAAAAGTAAAATTTGTGTCCAGGAAGGGGAGAGCAGGTGCTTTCTGAGCCTATAAGAGTATTTGACCTAGTCAGGAAGTCTTCCCAGGTGAAGTGGCTGTTGAGTTCTGAAGGATAAGTAGATGTTAGCTAAATGAAGAGGCCACTGAAGATGGTTCTAGGTAGAAGAAACAGCACATGGAAAGGCCAGTGGTGAGGAGTCTGGTGACAAGAAAAGGCCAAGAAGCTCAGTGTGGCTGTGGCATGGATGAGCCAGGCAGAATATCTTGTGAAATAAGCCCAGAGAAGCAGACATGGGTGGAAGCCAGACCTTACAGACCACCTTAAGGATTCTGGTTTTTGTCCTGAGATCTATGGGAAACCACTGAAGAATTTTTAAGTAGGAGAGTGACATGATTAGATTTGTGTTGACACTGACTGCTATTTGGAGAATAGGCAGTAGGGCAATCTAATTAGATTCAGGAATATAGTTAGGAGGCAGTAATCCAGGGCCAAGATGATGGTAATTTAGACTAGTGTGGTGAAGGCAGAGATAGATAAAAGTGTATTGTACTGATATAATCTGTTACTTGTCAGTGACAATGTCAAAGTCAATGACAATGGCTTATATTTGTTTCTCTTTAATGCTTAGAAGAGAATCTGAAACAGTAGGAATTTAACAAGTATCTGTTCAACTAAACTGTCCTTTTCACTTCAATAATAGGATTGTGTTTCATTATATTTTCTTAATCATAAAATTTCAGAAATAGCTGGGTGCGGTGGGTCACGCCTGTAATCTCAGCACTTTGGGAGGCCGAGGTGGGTGGATCACTTGAGGTCAGGAGTTTGAGACCAGCCTGGCCAACAAAATGAAACCTCATCTCTACTAAAAATACAAAAATTAGCTGGGCATGGTGATGGACGCCTGTAATCCCAGCTACTGGGAAGGCTGAGGCAGCAGAATCGCTTGAGCCTGGGAGGCAGAGGTTGCAGTGAGCCGAGATCATGCCACTGCACTCCAGCCTGGGTGACAGAGTGAGACTCTGTCTCAAAAATAAGAAAAAAACATTCAGAAATGGAAACTTTACATGCACAAACGCTCATAAGGTTAGGTAATATAAGGCATTTTTCTTTGCCATTAGACTTTCATTTCTGTCTTTATTTTATTGTTGTCTTCTGTAGAGAAGGCATATATGGATATATTACATAGTAAAAACCATTTTACAGATGCATGATAGGGGATAAAACTAAAGTCTCAGGGGGAAACAGAGGTCCTACTATATTCTTGAGTTAAAGTTGTTAACCATAGTCACATGTGTTTTTCTACAAGGCAGGAAACGCTGGGTCAGAGACTTTTGTGCAGAAAGACAATCTAGAATATATTGGTTCAGTTTCTGCTTGTACAGCCTTTGCCACAAATGTAAACTAGATTTTCTCTCCCTTTTATGTTTTAAAAGAAACTATTTTCCTTTTTATATTTTTTAATAAACTTTTCACCTATATGTAAGATCTTTAATTGCATTTAACAAATACTTACGAAGTGTTTAATGTGTGCGAGGCACTGAGGTGGCAAAGTAGACTTTTAAAATTTATACATTTAATCTGTTGAGGGTAAAAATAAATGTTCTTTTCATTATTTGTAAATATTATCTCCAACAGATCAATAAATCAGAGAAGCCAGAAAGCTGCGATAATGTGAAGGTTGTTGTTAGGTGCCGGCCCCTCAATGAGAGAGAGAAATCAATGTGCTACAAACAGGCTGTCAGTGTGGATGAGATGAGGGGAACTATCACTGTACATAAGACTGATTCTTCCAATGAACCTCCGAAGACATTTACTTTTGATACTGTTTTTGGACCAGAGAGTAAACAACTTGATGTTTATAACTTAACTGCAAGACCTATTATTGATTCTGTACTTGAAGGCTACAATGGTAAGTGAATATTTACTTTTTAAAAAACACCCTTATTGAGACATAATTAACGTGCCATAAATTCACCTATTGCAACTGTACAGTTTGATGAGTGTAGTAAATGTATACAGTTATGAAACCATCATCACAATCCAGCTTTAGAACACCATTGTCATCCCCAAAAGTTCCTTTATGTCCGTTTGCAGACCCACCCCCAAGCAACCATTGATCTGCTTTCTGTCACTGTAATTTTGCCTTTTCTTGAAATGTCATATAATATGTCACCTTGTTTATCTGTTTTTTTTCACATCAAATAATGTTTTTGAAGTTTATCCTACTAGGATTTTCATAGGGATTGTGTTGAATTGTCATTCTGACAATATTGAGTCTTCCAGTCCATGAACATGATACTTCTCTCCATTTAAAACGTTGAAACATTAATTAATTATGGACAGGGTCTTGCTCTGTTGCCCAGGCTGGAGTGCAGTGGTGCGGTCATAGCTTACTGCAGCCTTGAACTCCTGGGCTGAAGCTATCCTCTCCCTTCTGCCTCCTAAGTAACGAGAACTACAGCTGTGCACCACCACACCTGGCTAATTTTTTTGTTTTTGTAAAAACTAAGTCTTGCTGTGTTGCTCACTCAGGTCTCGAATTCCTAGGCTCAAGGAATCTCCTGCTGAGGCCTTTCAAAGCACTGTGATTTCCCTTGTCAGCTACCATGTCCAGCTTCTCTCCATTTATTTATGTCTTAATTTCTCTCATCTGTATTTTGTAGCTTTTAGTGTACAAGTCTTGTACTTGTTTTGATTAATTTATTCCTAAGTATTTTTTTGATGTTATTGTGAATAGGATTGCTTTCATAATTTCAATTTTGGATTGTACGTTACTAATATATAGAGATGAACTTGATTTCTTTAGGTAGCTTTTGTGATAAAATTCAAATATCAAATTTATGATTTTACAGTTCATAGGTTTTTAGTTCATTTACAATGTTGTGCAGCTGTCACCACTGTCTGTTTCTAGAACATTTCTATCACTCCAAAAAGAAACCCTGTATCCATTAGCAGTCACTCCCAATCCATTACCACCTCCCTTCCCCCAACCCAGCAACTACTAATTTGCAGTCTATATCTATTCTATGAGTTTGCCTGTTCTAGACATTTTCTGTAAATGGAGTTATATGCTATGTGGCCTTTTGTGAATAACTTATTTCACTTACAGTGTTTTCAAGCTTCATCTGTATTGTAACATATAAACGTATATCAGCAATTCCTTCTTTTTTTTTTTTTTTTTGAAACAAAGTCTCACTCTGTCGCCCAGGCTGGAGTACAGTGGCGCAATCTCCGCCTTCCGGGCTCACGGGCTCACGCCATTCTCCTGCCTCAGCCTCCCAAGTAGCTGGGACTACAGGCGCCCGCCAATACACCCGGCTAATTTTTTGTGTTTTTAGTAGAGACGGGGTTTCACAGTGTTAGCCAGAATGGTCTCGATCTCCTGACCTCGTGATCTGCCCACCTTGGCCTCCCAAAGTGCTGGGATTATAGGCGTGAGCCACCGCACCTGGTCTTTTTTTTTTTTTTTTTCTTGCGACGGAGTCTTGCTCTGTCACCCAAGCTGGATTGCAGTGGTG